ATGTGTGTGAGTATACATGTGTCTCTGTGCGTGTGTACATCTTGTCTGTATGTGTGCGTACATGTGTCTCTGTGCGTGTGTATGTAGTACATTTCTTTATATGTGTGTGTGTGTACGTGTACATGTGTACATGTCTTTATGTGTGTGTACATGTCTGTGTGTGTGTACAGGTGTCTCTGTTTGTGTGTGTTGGTGGCGAGTAACTCTTAAGGCCTGGCTAGTAGCTCAGGACTTGAAATTTTAAGCCTACAATATTGTGGTGGCTGTTCACGTGGATTATATCCACTTTATTCATTTAGCACAAATTTAATCAATTTTCCAGTGAACACATATGAACAAATAAAAACCAAATGCTTATAACATAGTGAATTTTTCATTCGTGAATTTCATTTTAAAGTCATAGTGAATGGCATACTGAGAATTACAAACAGAATTAAAATGTCCGTGTGAAAACCAAACTCGAATTACAACTAAAGTTCCTTCTTCTCCAGAGAGTACCGTGCGATCTGAGTGCCGACAATACCTCACGAAGTGAAAACACTCCACATATAGATGTCAGAGCCTCTTACCAGAACAGACGGACCTTAAAGTTATAAAATGGTCATAGAACGCTGAGCTCGGAGATGTGCAATCACAATCTCACCATAGCAGACCAGCAGCCATAAACAAGTCACAACAATAGACAAACACAATGGGGGAGTATGACTAAAACTGGCGCACAGAGAATCTGGTGCAGCTCTGCATAGAAACCTATCGGCTTCCAGGATTTTATCGTCAAAGCTTCACTGAACAAGCTGAAGTTAGAAGCTGATTGGCTCCCATGCACAGCTGCACCAGATGAGTGCTCCAGTTTTAGTAAATCTCACCCAATGTGCTTAAGCTGATAACACACAAAGCATTCTAATTTCTTCTCTCTCTATTGAACACACCCATTAAACATCCACAGTGCTGGAGGAAAATGTAAGTGAACCTATAGACTAATTAATTCAATGAAAGTTAAAGTGTTACTAAACACCCACAACAGTAAAATCAGTCCGTATATACAGGAAAGCACGCTCGTTATACTCACTGTGGAACCTAAGGGGTTAATCCTCCACATTGGGAAAAAAGGCTGTTTGATCCTCCCCTTCAGTCAGTCCCCGATTCATCTGTGGATAGTACAGAGCCCTAGGAGGCACTCTGCACATGCTCAGTTTAGTATGTATTGCTAGAGTTTTTTTTTTTTTTTCCTGGTAGGGTGCATGTGATTGGCACAAGGCCAATCAGCGCTGTCTGGACAGAGGGGTCACGGGTCATGCAGCCTCATAGGACAGCCAGAGCAGAATGAAAATGCCTCTCATGAGCTTTAACCAGTGCTCAGCCGTACACTAATAGAAGTCACAAGACTGCTATATACTGCTGATGAGAAAATGTATTTTAGCAGTTTATATTTACTAAAATAATTGCATTTCCATGTTGTGTGTACTGTGGGAGACCAGATATAGTGAATGCAGGGTCCGGGGAGACCAAATATAGTGAATGCAGGGTCCGGGGAGACCGGATATAGTGAATGCAGGGTCCCGGGGAGACCGGATATAGTGAATGCAGGGTCCGGGGAGACCGGATATAGTGAATGCAGGGTCCGGGGAGACCGGATATAGTGAATGCAGGGTCCGGGGAGACCGGATATAGTGAATGCAGGGTCCGGGGAGACCGGATATAGTGAATGCAGGGTCCGGGGAGACCGGATATAGTGAATGCAGGGTCCGGGGAGACCAGATATAGTGAATGCAGGGTCCGGGGAGACCAGATATAGTGAATGCAGGGTTCGGAAAGACCAGATATAGTGAATGCAGGGTCCGGGGAGACCAGATATAGTGAATGCAGGGTCCGGGGAGACCAGATATAGTGAATGCAGGGTCTGGGGAGAGCAGATATAGTGAATGCAGGGTCTGGGGAGAGCAGATATAGTGAATGCAGGGTCTGGGGAGCAGATATAGTGAATGCAGGGTCCGGGGAGACCAGATATAGAGAATGCAGGGTCTGGGGAGACCGGATACAGTGAATGCAGGGTCCGGGGAGAGCGGATATAGTGAATGCAGGGTCCAGGGAGAGCGATATAGTGAATGCCGGGTCCGGGGAGAGCGATATAGTGAATGCCGGGTCCGGGGGAGAGCGATATAGTGAATGCCGGGTCCGGGGAGAGCGGATATAGTGAACGCAGGGTCCGGGGAGAGCGGATATAGTGAACGCAGGGTCCGGGGAGAGCGGATATAGTGAACGCAGGGTCCGGGGAGACCAGATATAGTGAATGCAGGGTCCGGGGAGACCAGATATAGTGAATGCAGGGTCCGGGGAGACCGGATATAGTGAATGCAGGGTCCAGGGAGAGCGGATATAGTGAATGCAGGGTCCCGGGAGAGAGCGGATATAGTGAATGCAGGGTCCGGGGAGAGCGGATATAGTGAATGCAGGGTCCCGGGAGAGCGGATATAGTGAATGCAGGGTCCCGGGAGAGCGGATATAGTGAATGCAGGGTCCGGGGAGAGTGGATATTGTGAATGCAGGGTCCTGGGTTTAATAACATTTTACCTGGAGTTAGTAGTTTGCGCACTTGGAGTCCACTAAATGAAATGAGTTTGAGGTGTGGTTTAGAGCTACTTTAATTGATAAAAAAAAACCTCAAACATTTCAAGACTGCTGTTCATAAGAAGCATCAGCTGATGTGAACCATGCCTCACAAAAAGTCTCTGAAGACATATGATCAAGAGAAGTTGATCTGCATAAGGCTGGAAAGGGATACAAAGCAATTAAAGTGTTTAGGCATCCATCAGTCAACAATTAGACCAATTGTCTATAAATGGAGACATTAAAGTACTGTGGCTTCTTTTCCTAGAAGAGGCGAACCCAGCCAAGATGACTCCAAAAAGGCACAACGCAGAAGCTTCTGAAGAGAAAAGAAGAACCCATGAGCAACAGCTACAGGCTTGAAGACAACATTGAAATGGGAAAACATCCCTGTTCATGAGTCTAACAGTCTTTGAACAGGCAGGTGTCCATGGCAGGATACTACGGAGGAAGCTGCGTACCTGAGGTTTGCCAAAGAACACCTTGTCAAACCACAACACTACTGGGGGAAAATGTTTTATGGACTGATCAAACTAAAGTTGAATACTCAGCACTATGTATGGTACCAAAAGGGCGCAGCTTACAAACATCAAAACATCATCCAAACTGAAGTATGGTGGAGGTAACATCATGACCTGGGCTTACTTCGCTGCCTCAGGCCCTGGACCACTTGCTATCGCCAAGGGGAAAATTAATTCCTAAGTTTACCAAAATATTTTACAGGATGTCAGGGTGGCTGTCCGGCAGCTGAAGCTCAGTAGAAGTTGAGTGATGCAACGGGACAATGACCCTAAGTATCAAAGTAAATACAGTTTTTGAAAAAGGAATGGTCAAACCAGGGGCGGACTGACCATTTGGAAACTCGGGCACTGCCCGAAAGGCCCAGGGTCAGTAGGGGGCCCCATGAGATGCCCCTGGTACCTTTTTCATAGGCTTTTTTGAGTTTGGGCAAGGACACAGGGGCCCCATGATCCCCTATTGCCCAGGGGCCCCATGAGTTGTCAGTCCGCCCCTGGGTCAAACATATCTCCTGAATGTTGTGTAGGTCTGATCCAGAGCTACTGAAAGTGCTTGTCTGAAGTCACTGCTGCCAAGGGAGGATCTACCAGCTATTAATTCAGGTTGTCTGTTGACTGATGGGGGTCTTAACACTTTGAGATTGCTTTGTATCCTTTCACAGCCTTATGCAAGATCAACTATTGTATGTTTCCTTTTTGTTCATGATTCACATCAGCTAATGCTTCTTATGAACAGCAATCCTAAAATTTTTGAGTGTCATTTATCAAAGTATCTAAACCTAAACCACACTTCCAAACTCCTTTCGTTAATTGGACTCAAGGTATGCAAACAACTGACTCCAATTAGAAGTAATTGGCCTAGGGGTGCCCTTACTTTTTCCTCCAGCACTGTTACCCCCGGTTCACATCTATGCGGCCGTGCGGGCCGCGTTTTGCACGGGCACGAGAGCCCATTCATTTGAATGGACTCCCGTGCCTGTGACACGCAAGGAAAGAAGTCCCTGCACTTCTGTGGAAACCGCAACCTGCCCACGGGTCCGCATTTCTCTGTGCGGCTGCACGGATTTTTGTGCGGATCCGCAGCGGCACCACCCACACAGATATGAACCTAGGGTAAATGTTTTAGCCTGGGTTTACATATGTGCGGTGCGGTATATCGCATGTGATTCGCACAGGAACCGCACCGCATTCCTGCGCAAATCACATGCGATTTTGGTGTGCGGTGCGATCGGAGCCATACATTTTGTATGGCTCTATTCGCACCAAAACAAAAACATGCAGGACCCTTGTTTGGGTCCGCACTAGAATCAGATCGCATAGGTATTCACACCTCGATCCAATTCCGCAGATCGCACTGCGTTTTGCGGACCGCTTTCGGGGTGTTGCTAACATACACACCTGCAGCGGTTCGCATGAACGGGGTGCGGTTCTGATGCGGTGCGGAATTCACACTGAAAATGCTGGGAATTCCGGGCACATCAGTGGGAAACAGGGCTAATAGTTGTGTTCAATAAAGACGCAAGAAATGAGAATTGTTTGTGTGTTATCAGCTTTAGTACATTGTGTTGGTCTATTGCTGTGACTTAGATGAGGATCAGATCACATTTTATGGCAAATTACTGCAGAAAACCAATTATTACCGTTGGGGTTTACATCATTTTTTCTTGCCGTGGTATGCGTTACGCTGGAAGCAGCTGAGTAAACTGCATGGTGACTATGCCATGTGGGAACTGGAGGTGCAAATACAGCCGATTAACAATTGCGGAAAAACTTGCACAAGACCAATCCCAGTTCATAGTTTTAAATCAACGGGAGGGAAAGCCTTGTGCCAAATTAGACGCATTTCTCAAAATTCTACACCGAATTCGTCCTTACCTAGCATGCTCCCAGCTATGAGAATGTCAAACAGCGTGTCAGCATAGCGGCGGTAATCTAATCGGGAGCCTGTCGAGTCAAGAAATTTTGCTACTGCCTCCAAGTCAGTGCCAGCTTCATTGAGGCCCTGGATGATCGTATCCCGAAACACTGTAGGTTCAAATTTCTCTTTTTCATCTGCGCGAGAGAGCAAAAATAAATTTTACAAATATTACTCCAGCAGAAGTTAAGAAATCGGTTTATAATATCAGAAGAATGTATGCAAGCAACAAACATTTTATAAATAGACCTCAAAGAGCATGTCAAGCCAAAACTATTTTTTTTTTAGTTTTAGAGTAGAGAAGGATTAGAAATCCGATCAAATTTTTGCTGCTCCATAAAAGAGATTTGCCTTCACTGGTGCTGGCGATGACAGTTTCACCTAACAGGAAGTGAGGGAATACTCAACAGTAGCACGGACAAAAGTAGAGAAAGGAATGGCTAGACCTCTTAGTCAGCTTTTTGTATCTGTATCCCCATTACAGGTTTTCCCTCACTTCCTGTCTGCTGTCACCGGAACAGGAAGTGAAGGAAAATCACTCCGACTCCATAGATAGCAGAAGGAACCTGACAGGAGTTCTAACCTTTTATTCTATCCAAAACTAAAATAAAAAGTTAACTGTTAACTCATTTTCCAGGAATCTTCCAGGACGGCTTACGAGAGAGAGGCTCTTCCCATCTAGTATAGGGAACACATGATCCACATTACAAAAAGCATGCACAGAGACCTAACCGGCAGCCATAACATATAACCATAGGCAAGGAAAAAATACAGCACGGTAAGCATTTAAGTCCTACCCCCAAAAACTTGTAGCGCGGGAAAAGGCGCTGTCCTGGGGGATTCCTGGAAAGTGAGTTAACGGGTAATAAGTTTGTTTTCCCAAGCCATCTTTCAGGATGGCTTACCAGAGGACAATGAAGAACTACTTGATTAGGGTGGGACCACAGCTTGCAGCACCTTCCTCCGGAAGGCCTGTTCCTGGCTAGAGAACAAGTCCAAAAACGGTAGTGTTTATCCAAGGTTTGGAAGCTGGACCAAGTGGCGGCTTTGCAGATCTAGAGTGGGGAAGCTCCAACCCTTTCTGCCCAAGACGTAGCCATTGACCTATAAAAGTGTGCTTTAACCGGCAAAAGTGGTGCCATAGAAGATGCTCGATAAACTTCCAAGGTCCAAAAACGGTAGTGTTTATCCAAGGTTTGGAAGCTGGACCAAGTGGTGGCTTTGCAGATCTGGAGTGGGGAAGCTCCAGCTCTTTCTGCCCAAGACGTAGCCATTGACCTATAAAAGTGTGCTTTAACCGGCAAAAGTGGTGCCATAGAAGATGCTCGATAAACTTCCAAGGTCCAAAACCAGTAGTGTTTAACCAAGGTTTGGAAGCTGGACCAAGTGGAGGCTTTGCAGACCTAGAGTGGGGAAGCTCCAACTCTTTCTGCCCAAGACGTAGCCATTGACCTATAAAAGTGTGCTTTAACTGGCAAAAGTGGTGCCATAGAAGATGCTCGATAAACTTCCAAGGTCCAAAAACGGTAGTGTTTATCCAAGGTTTGGAAGCTGGACCAAGTGGCGGCTTTGCAGATCTGGAGTGGGGAAGCTCCAACCCTTTCTGCCCAAGACGTAGCCATTGACCTATAAAAGTGTGCTTTAACCGTCAAAAGTGGTGCCATAGAAGATGCTCGATAAACTTCCAAGGTCGCTAACTTCATCCAGCTAGCAATTGTGTTTTTTGAGGCACACTTGCTTTTATTAGGTCCCGAAAACAACATGAACAAACTAGGAATGGAGAGAAAATCCTTAGTGTGTTTGATGTAAGCAATTACACATCTCCTCACATTCACTCTGTTGAACTCTTCTTTCCTCCTATTTCTAGGAACCCCGTAAAAGCAGGGAATTAGAATCTCCTCAGAGTGATGAAGTCCGATACTACCGAAGGTAAAAATGCAGGATCCAGAGTTAAAGTGATTTTGTCTGGAAGGATCATGCAATACGGCTTGGCAATCGATAGCGCCTGTATTTCACATACTCTTCAAGCGGAGACCAACTTCACTGAGGACTGTTTTCGGAGGTAATACTCTAATAGTGCAATCTTCCAGTGGATCAAAGGGTTCTTTGCAAAAGGCTTGCATTATAATGGAAGGATTCCAAGATGGAAATCTGGAACCCCAGGGTTTCCATCTTCTGCTTATAGATGTCCAAAATTGCTTGATTAGAGGGTCTTCTACTAGAAAGCTGGAAAGAGCTGCAACCCAAACTTTTATAGTCTTTGATGCTAAACGCAGATCTGTAGGAAATCCAAAACTGCCAAGATGATAGGACCGGATACCTGCTGTTATCTTTTCTCCATCCGCAGAATCACTTCCACACTTTGTTATAGACAATGTTAGTAGAAGATTCCTGCTTCCACGGATGGTTTCAATACCTCCTGAGATGAACCTTTTCTTTTAAGTAGTTCCCCTTCAGAAGCGTCAGAGAAAGATGGTCCACTGGAGGGCCAGTCACCACCCCTTGGTGTAAGACAGGATTGGGCAACTGACGCCCTCCAGCTGTTGGTGAACTACAAGTCCCATCATGCCTCTGCCTTGGGAGTCATGGTTGTAACTGTCAGTTTTGCAATGCCTCATGGGAAACAGCTGGAGGGCCACAGTTGCCCACTGTGATGGGAGTGACTGAGTAGGGGGCCCATGGAGCACAGCTCACTTTGGAGGGGTAGGGAGACCCCTGTTTCAGCTCCCCATATCCCTCCTATGTGTAAGTCACCCTGTGCCTGTTAGGGATGCAGGGTGGAATGTCCCGATATTGTGTAGACATGTATAGTTGTGGGGTGTGGGGGTTGTTCATTGTTTACTGCCATGTGGTGCATCCCATTGTTCTATTGTGTGTCTTGCTTGGGAGCAAACTATTATGGGATGTATGTGTTTGTGTATTGGCTTGGTGGGGGGTGTCTGCTGATGTGTCTCTGGTTGCTAGATTTGGTTTGCCTCGCCCGGTGTCCATATGCAGGGAGGTGGGTTGTTCCCTTGAATGTTTATATCTTGTGTCTGTGTTAAAATAAAGCAGTCCATCTCCTGGTTTCCTTCAAGTCTGGTGCTGTCTCCTCTTGTATGGCCAGCGGTGGTGTCCGTGGGATCTGTGTTCGGACATGGAAGTGGGAGTCTAACGGAAATACCTTAGTGCAGTCAGGGTCTGGTTCCGTTACACCCACCCCTGGTGTAAGAGCTAACTTTAGCAGCCCCGTGAACCATGTCCTCTTGGGGCCAGTAAGGGGAGAGAAGAATAACAATTGCTGCAGAGAATTTGACCTTACAGCTCAGTGATGAGGTCACGGCTACTTTTACAAGTGACTATCTGGGCTTGCAAAGGCATTTGGTGCTCACAAAGTGGATTTATATCTTTTGTGAATATTGAAAAACGTGTCAGAAGTTCAGCTTTACAACACCGAGAAGTCACACAGAGATGATTATTTTTTCAGGACAAGTGAGGCTTTTAGCAAACGGACTACCGAAAATATTTTATTTTCTATGCAATCGAAAAAAAAAAAAAAAAAAAGCCATTTTGTCAATGCTTTGCTTTGACGCTTCAAACTGGGCACACATTTGACTTTGTATTTGCAACTCAGTCAAGCAGACCTTCCTATTAAATAGATGTTGGTAGATGTATAGGAAATTGTACAATGAGAGTGAATTGCTAATAGTCAGATATCAAATATAAAAAAAACAAAAAAACAAAAAAAGTGCACGTGTTATTTGTGGGGGGAGGAGAGAAGGGTCAGGTCACGCTAAAGTTATATTTGGAGATGAAACCAAGCCCACACCCCCACCTATACATGTCTACACAATATTCCACCCTGCCCCCCTAACAGTCAGCCCCTTGCTTTTTATAGCTCTTGAATGTTTCAGAAGTGAGGTCTCCTGGCCATAATTCCTGGAAATAGGAAATCCAGCAGGGATGTATGTAAAAGGACCTTACTGCAGGGATGGTGGGAACCCCTCATAATGAGCTGTGCAGTCATGCAGACCTGGGAACACAGCACAGGGATGGTGGGAATAATGGGCACAGTAGGTGTGTAGATCCCGGAACTTGCTACAGGGATGGTGGGAAACCCTCATAACTGGCAAAGAAGGTGTAAAGATTTGGGAACTCCTTTTGGCACAGCAGGTGTGCAGACCTGCAAACCCAGCACAGGGATGTTGGGAACCCCTCATAATGGGCACAGCAGGTGTGCAGACCTGCAAACCCAGCACAGGGATGTTGGGAACCCCTCATAATGGGCACAGCAGATGTACAGACCCGGAACTCAGCACAGGGATGTTGGGAGCCCCTAATAATGGGCACAGCAGGTGTACAGACCCGGAAGCTCAGTACAGGGATGATGGGAACCCATCATGATGGGCACAGCATGTATACAGACTCAGGAACTCAGCACAGATATCTGACCAATAGAATTCCGAGGTAACAGAAAAGGCTGATTTATCTCTTCGGCTTCTACCACACACTGAAATCTCAGTTTGGGTGGACTGACCCTTTAACCAGTTCCGTGCCGTGTCATAGTTCACATCAGTGCTTGCAGTTCCAGTGCGTAGCGCAAAAAATTGCCTGGTCAGGAAAGGGGGGTAAATCCTCTAGCCTGGTCAGGAAGGGGGGGGGGGGTAAATCCTCTGGCCTGGTCAGGAAGGGTGGGGGGGGTAAATCCTCTGGCCTGGTCAGGAAGGGGGGGGGGGGGTAAATCCTCTGGCCTTGGTCAGGAAGGGGGGGGGGGGGGTAAATCCTCTGGCCTGGTCAGGAAGGGGGGGGGGGGGGTAAATCCTCTGGCCTGGTCAGGAGGGGGGGGGGGGTAAATCCTCTGGCCTGGTCAGGAAGGGGGGGGGGGGGTAAATCCTCTGGCCTGGTCAGGAAGGGGGAGGGGGTAAATCCTCTGGCCTGGTCAGGAAGGGGGGGGGGGGGGGGCCTGGTCAGGGGGGGGGGGGGGGGGTAAATCCTCTTGAAGGACAAGTGGTCCATTAGCCAGGTTTGCGGTCTCAGTAGGCGGCTCACTTACCCCTCTTTCTGGTTTTAAACCTCTGGCCCGTTAGCACTGGCTTCTGATGCTTATTCATAAAATGTCTGTAATGAAAGAAAACAAAATTATATGATTACAGATTTCTCATCTCCTGAAAACAAGTTGAGGTGAATTTTCTGCAAAAATCACAAATTGGTTCAATAATGACAGACTGGATCCTTGCTAGCAAAACACCGAAGTCGATGATATTTGATGAGCTGCTGAATCACTTTTTCCCTGCAGTCCCTATAATGGGGCAGCACAGTGGCTAAGTGGTTAGCAGTTCCGCCTGGCAGTACTCGGGTCGTTGGTTCGACTCCCAACCACGGCACCACCTGCCTGGAGTTTGCATGTTCTCCCTGTGCCTGTGTGGGTTTCTCCGGGTACTCCTGTTTCCTCCCACACTCCAAAGACATGCTGGTAGGTTAATTGGCTCCTGTCTAAATTGTCCCTAGTATGTGTATGTATGAATGTGAGTTAGGGACCTTAGATTGTACACCCCTTGAGGGTTAGGGACTGATGTGAATGTACAATATATATGTAAAGTGCTGCGTAAATTGACGGCGCTATATAAGTGAAATAAATAAAAAAAAATAAAATAATAGTCCAATTTCGGCCCTGATGCGGTCACAGACTCCGGGGACTAATTATAATGGCTGAGATAGTGGAATCTGGCACCAACCTTTCAAAATGCATTCGACGTTCAGATTAACCAAAATGTATGACCCCCTCAAGGATAATTAAAGCTCAACTCCAGGAAACATAAAAATGACCCCCCCCCCCTGCAGATGGTGTTTACCCGTGCTCTGGTGGTGGACTGTCCCTCAGTATCATCATGCCAATGCAGGGCTATGGTCACTGCATTGGTCTTAATGACATCAGCACCTTCAAGCACTGGAGCATGAGGGAGAAGGCACTGTGGGGAACAGGCTAGCAGTGAGGATTGGAGGAATAGACTTTTCTATATACCCTAAACCAGAAATGAACCCCTGCAGTGTGTGTGAGATAATTTTTTTAAGTGGTATTAAACCTAAAACCAAATATTTTACATGTTGCAGTTTAGCAATCATTAGATGTAACGGCTGCATTAGTCAGAACGGATATATAAAGCTAATGTAATTGTTAAAGGTCTTGTTTGTTTTTTGTATTTGAACAAAAAATTAATAAAAATATATTACAATAATGTTCATAATTAACAAATGAAGATGTGAAATTAAAGTTGAGCTCCATCTGAAAAAAATAAAAATAAATAAAAGTCAGCAGCTAGAAAACGAGGAGTAGGAGGGAGGAGGAGGAGAAGGAGGGAGGAGTCCAGTCCGCTATTATATTTTATATGAAAAAGTCTTGCGGTTGCAACAATGTATCCAAATAAAAACATTGTAATCCAAATAATGTATTTGTATTGCTGCCACATTGTATGGTGTGCTCCCGTCTCTGCAAGGGACAGAAGTTATGGGGTTAATACCGGCCATAGACGGGTCGAAAATTGGCTGATTTTTATTAACAGTGGGTAACGTCGGCCAATCGAACGACCGATTTTTCATTATTTTTTTTATTTATTTTTTTAAATCGGCCAATGTTCAAACCATCTATGGCCTGCTTTACCTGTCTTCTCTCCCTGGCGCCGGAATCTTTAGTGTGGGCACCCGGCTGTGACATCTTCTGGCTTCACAGCCGGGTGTCCACTGCGCATGCGTGAGAAACGCTGCGCTTTGTGAATGGTCCCGTAGTCTTCTGGAACCTGTCACGTGTCCCAGAAGACAAAGGGGGGTAGGTGGACAAGACAACTTCCGCTTCTGAACGCCTAGGCGATTGCAGCGGACGTGGGAGCGGGTACCTGTCACATTCGGGTACCCGCTCCCCAAAAGATGCCAATCCTTAATGGGGAGTGGGGGACAAAGGCTTAAAGCGGAACTTCCCCTTTTGGGTGGAGCTCCGCTTTAAAGTATGTGTTACCCCAACATTTCCTATTCCTGATCTGCGCCTGTTGAACCATGTACTTGTATGAAAAAGTCCCCACTTCTCTTTGTATTGCCTCCTTTGTGTGAGATTCCCTGGTGATCCCGCCAGTCCCTCTGCTTTCCTGTTAAAGTATAACTAAAGGCACATTTTATAAAATTTTACTTTTGGATGGAGCAAAGAGGGATTAAAGCCCCTGTCAGGTTTTTTTCTGCTGTCTGTGCCCCCCTTACCTCCTTAGGGAGATTCCCCCTCTCTGTTTGCCTTGTTTACCATTATCATGGAAAGTAAAAGAAAATCCCAAATTCTGGGTTATCCCCAGAAAAGTAATAGGGGAATCTGGGGGTCCCCAAGGAATTCGCTCAATTTGCAGGGATTCCCCCTCACTTCCTGTTTGGCTATGGTTGAATAAAAAGAGATTGGCCGACCAATCGGGTGGTTGAAGGTCACACCCAAGAAAAGGTCATAGTGCCACGTCCCAACTGAAGAATAATTATATTGGAAATTGCGAATGGACTTTTCATGCACAAACTCAGTACACGGAAGAGAACGATTGCTTTTATCGTCTGTGTAATGAGTTTATGTGCCTGAAAAGTCCATTTGCAATTTCTGATATAATCTGTTTGGCTGTGGGACAGGAAGTAAAAGGAAAATTTCCACAATGGGACACAGATGACAAAAAAAAAATGACGGGTTATAACCCTCCCTTACTTTATCCACAGTGAAAAAAAAAAGTTGCCTATAGTTCTACTTTAAGAACTGACCACACTAGGCAGGAGAGCACAGCATGGTCAGTTCTATAGCTGTGCTGGGATCTCGGCCTGCTCTCCTCCATTGATCAACTTGTGCTGACATGCTCCCCCTTGCACAGCCATTCACCGGAAGACCAGTGTAATGCGGTTTCTCCACCTCCAGCTCTCTCTGAGCTCCTTATGGAAAAGGAAAAACAGAGGTCATGTGATCACTTATAAAAACCATTTTTAAAAAAAAAAAAAGGCATTTATATGTATAGCACTACCTCTTTAGGAGTTGCTAGAGATTTAGGCCCCCTATATAGTCCTGCACAGCCAAGCAACACACATTTCCTTCCAGACTTGCACTCCAGAGACAGTAAAACAGTCTTTGAAGTTTTCTTTTTTTTTATTAGGGGATTGAAACTTGGATGGGGATGAAGGGTATATGGGATGCCAAGGAATTCTAAAAGTGAGGGCAACTTCCTAGAACTATGTACAAGTTTTCTCTTCTCTTCTTGGAGAGCTAGCCATCCTGAAACCTCAGATGATTATCTCCTCGTCGCCCAGCTGCCAGAGGAATCCCAGGCCAAGGGGTTTCAGAAGCGGTCACATTAAATGAAAACAGTCCCAGATGAGGGCTAGTCAGATTTCCCACCCAAATGTCCCTTTCCCCTTATCTGGCCCAGGGGGTGCGGGATTACTCAGACTCTTTCCTGCAAGCTTGTGGGTTGGTGGCTGATTTCAGGCCTTACTCTGGGCTGGCTCCTTCCCAAGTTGTCCTCTCTCAGGGGACAGTGAGGCTGAGAGATCCTCTGCCCATAGGTAGGCCCCTCTCCTGGACCCCATCCCAGGTCACACACACACACCATCGTCCTCAGTCCAACTTCCACCCGAACTCTCCTGCTACTGAGCAGGCTCAGTCACTGTTAAGGGCTGTTCTGATCCCATGCCAAGCCTCCTGCTTGGGGATTGGCCAGGATCCCTTGAGAGTGCAGACCAGCCACTCCTCACCCCCCGCCCACTGAATTCTGGAGACTTCTCCAAGTCCCTTAGATCAAGGGGAAGTTCCAGAGAGCTGGTCTGCAGAGCTCTCAGTTCTGACCGAAACGTGGCCCCCTATGACTGACTATTTCACCAGGCTGCTGTTCAGCCTCTAACTAAAAATAATCCTCTAGCTCCCCCTAGCTACCTAGGAGGGTGTCACATTTGTATACAGAAATGTTTTGCCTTTCATATTTATTTATTTCAGGTACTTATATAGCCCTGTCAATTTACGCCGTGCTTTACACACAAATTTATATATATATATATACATTCACATCAGTCCCTAACCCTCAAGGGGCGTACAATCTAAGGGCCCTAACTCACATTCATACATACACATACTAGGGACAATTTAGACAGGAGCCAATTAACCTACCAGCATGTCTTTGGAGTGTGGGAGGAAACCGGAGTACCCGGAGGAAACCCACGCAGGCACAGGGAGAACATGCAAACTCCAGGCAGGTGGTGCTGTGGTTGGGATTCGAACCGACGACCCCAGTACTGCCAGGCGGAAGTGCTAACCATTTGGCCACTGTGCTGCCCATATCTACTTTGGTCCTCATGCACACACACCTTTTTTACAGCGGCTGTTTTTGGCTTTTGCTGTTTTTCTCTACAGCCAGTAAACTGAATGGTTTCTTTTACACGGTAGGGGTTCACATACAGATACTTTAAAGGAATTCATATGCTCAATACATTCAATATATGTACTTACTATAATACAATATTTATTTTGTTTTTTTGCTACAGTGGGCCTTTAACTTTCCAGAATACAGCACAAAGTTTTTTTGGCAGAGTGCTCCTTTAAGTGGTCCCAAAATATAGCCAAGCAAGCACATGCTCCTCCACCCTTTTCAGAAGGTCTTCAAAAGGTTCCATTACAAACAAGTAGTATTACAAATTGATTCTCTGTAGCACATGGACATTCACACACGCCAAGGCAGCGCAGCATGAGAATGAATGATTGTTTGCAGAAACTGGAACGGTGGTTAAGAATTTGATACCCCCCACCCCACCACCCCCACCCTCAGTTTTTTAGTAGCCCAAATTAATTATTCTCAGGCATCTCACACAGACCTAATCCAAGGACAAGACTACAAGCACGTTAATAAAGACGGAAGAGAGCGATTGACCCCCCGTCCCCACGCTTTAATTCAGCAATATTACCACGAGGGCGACTCCATTAACCTGGCTGACCCCCACAAGATCTTTGGGCCGATAACAAGATGGGCGACCCATTAACCTGGCCTGACGCGGTTTGTCCATTGTGCACAATGATAGGAGGCTGCCGGGGAGGAAAGAAATCCAAGAACAAAGTACA